GACCAACAACATGACTGTTAGGTTAACTGATAACTCTAAATTGTCCCTAGGTGTGAGTGAGAGAGTGAATGCTTGTTTGTCTTGTTTGTCTCTATGTGTGGTCCTGTGATGGACTGAGACCTGTCCAGGTGTAACCCCGCCCCTCGCACTGTGACTGCTGGATATGGGCACCAGTGACCCACGCGACCCTGAAAAGGAAGAAGCGTGTACAGAAAATGGATGGATGGATGGATAAATTAATGTTTTTAACTCTTAATTATTTTTTAAAAATCAATGTTTGTTTCTATATTTGTGAGGTTCTATTCCTCTATAGGTAGGGGAATCGAAAAAGGAAAAACCTGGGTACTCAACAGCAGAGTTGTGGTCGGGACCCTCAGTGGGGGGTCCTGAAACATCAAGGTGGGGTCCTGAAAATATTTTCTGAATTAATTACACTAAAAAATGACAACTAAGCACATTTTATTGCCTTTGTTGTTACAAAATAGTAAGATTAATGTAGCTACTTAAAATGAACAAAAATAGCATAATAAATAATGTTACTATGCACTTGTTTATTTGACGTGAAAACAATGATTATAAACTAACATCAGCTACGGTCCCGGTCTCTGCTGCTGGTATTTTGTGGGTCAAAGCTGAAAAGTTTGGGAACCACTGCTCAAACCTGGGGGGGCCCGCTGGTGCCCCCGCTGGAGACGCCCCTGCTCCTGAGGAGAGGAGAGGGAAGTAAAACACTAAATAAGCTTTATGTAATGTTATCGTTTGTAGTTATTAACTGTTTGTAAATCTTCTTCATCACAAAAATAAAAATGTTTTCCCTTTAAAAACAGAACAAACACATGCTGACGACGCTCGGAGTCTTTTTGTCCACAAGCGGCACCCAGAGTATTTACGTCACCAAGTCACGTGATCACAACACTGCTTTTACCGCGAATCTCGTCCTGTCTGCAGACTGACACTTTTTCACAGCAAAATAACGGACAAAGTTCTGCTCTTGTTCCGGTCCCTCTGACCCAGGATGTTCTGTGAGAAAAGCATGGAGCTGATCCGAGAGCTGCAGCGGAACAGCGACGGACAGCTGCCGGCTTTTAACGTGAGTACCCCGGACAGGTTTCCTGCTGCTTCCCGCTGGCCTGCAGCCGGGGCGCCAAACCCCGTCAGAGAATCTGTCGGTTTAAGACTTGTCAAAGATTTACAGCAAAAACCCAAGTGTTAGAAACAACAACTACCCATTTTCTGTTTTGTTACAAATAATTCAACAGTTCGGCTAAGATTTAACTTCTGAACTAGTCTGTGTTGTATCAGCAGAAAGAGGTGAAACATTAAAATGTTTGTTTTGTTTTTAAAGAAACATCAAAGTTCTGTTCGGTTTCAGCAAAACTAATTCTTTGCATAAATGTTTTTCAGTTATATTAGCTAAACTAAAGCCATTACACTTGGGCTCAGATTTTAACATCACAGTGAAGTGTATCAGTAGATGTTATGTTTAATGACCTGTTTTCACAGCTGCAACACAATCATCATAACTGTGGTCAGGTTTTTAAATAAAGCTTGAATGAGCCGCCTTATCTGAGCGTGGTTTGGTGTCAGAGCAACAGATTACAGCTGCTGACAAGATGAAGGCTTCTTCAAGCTCAGCTTACAGCTGAGATCCTGAATTTATAAATCTGACCTTTGTGAAACGAGCTCCAGTTAATCTCAGCAGAATCTGATTCCTTCTCATTTCAGGAAGATGGTCTGCGGCAGGTTCTGCAGGAGATGGAGGCTCTGTTTGAACAGAACCAGGCAGACGTGTGAGTTCCACAAACACATCTACAGGTTCCTGTTGACTAAATGGTTTCTGAGAGTTTATAACAGAAAAAATGTTTTCTCAAACCCAAATACAATATTAAAGCTAATCTTTGTTTTTATGTGTTATGTATGGACACAACTCTGGTTGAATTGAGGAGCTGTTAGAGCCCTGAATGGTTCAGAACTGTACAAGAACACAAACTGTTTGTTTGTTTTAGGAATGAAGCCAAATCAGCTGCTCGCTCGGACCTCATCCCCTCCATCAAACTGCGTCACTGCTGCCTGCAGAGGAACCAGCGCTGCGTCATGGCCTACCTGTAACTGCACACAGTCATGTGACCACCCTGTAACTGCACACGGTCATGTGACCACCCTGTAACTCTGCAAATGGTCATGTGACCACCGTGTAACTCTGCACACGTTCATGTGACCACTCTGTAACGCTGCACACGGTCATGTGACCACCCTGTAACTCTGTACACGGTCATGTGACCACCGTGTAACTCTGCACACGGTCATGTGACCACCGTGTAACTCTGCACACGGTCATGTGACCACCGTGTAACTCTGCACACGGTCATGTGACCACCGTGTAACTCTGCACACAGTCATGTGACCACCCTGTAGTAACTGCACACGGTCATGTGACCACCCTGTAGTAACTGCACACGGTCATGTGACCACCGTGTAACTCTGCACACGGTCATGTGACCACTCTGTAACGCTGCACACGGTCATGTGACCACCGTGTAACTCTGCACACGGTCATGTGACCACCCTGTAACTGCACACAGTCATGTGACCACCCTGTAACTGCACACAGTCATGTGACCACCCTGTAACTCTGCACACGGTCATGTGACCACCCTGTAACTCTGCACACGGTCATGTGACCACCGTGTAACTCTGCACACAGTCATGTGACCACCCTGTAACTCTGCACACGGTCATGTGACCACCGTGTAACTCTGCACACGATCATGTGACCACCCTGTAACTGCACACGGTCATGTGACCACCCTGTAACTCTGCACACGGTCATGTGACCACCCTGTAACTCTGCACACGGTCATGTGACCACCCTGTAACTGCACACAGTCATGTGACCACCCTCTCTGCTGCTTTGGTTTTGTTTACCTTTTGCCTGTTTTTTCCAGGTACGACCGGCTGCTGAGGATAAGAGCGGTGCGATGGGAGTATGGCAGCGTGCTGCCTGCCAATGTTCGCTTCCATATGTCTGCTGAGGAAGTTAGTATGACATCACTTCCTGCTACTGATTCACATTAAGAGCTCCACCTCTTTCAGTTTCCTGAAGGATAATGACGATGATGATTGTGTGTGTGTTGTTCAGGTACAGTGGTTCAGTCAGTATAAAAAGTCTCTGGCCTCCTTCATGCGCTCCCTCGGTGGGGGGGCTGGGCTTGACATCACACAGGACATGAAGCCCCCCAAGAGTCTTTACATCCAGGTGAGGGTCACAGCCAGCTGACCTCTGACCTGCAGTCTGACCTCACAGTTATGATGGCATCATGTTTGTTTCCAGGTGAAGTGTCTGAAAGATCACGGGAACTTTGAGATTGATGATGGAACAGTGATCCTGCTGAAGAAGAACAGCCAGGTGAGAACAGGAAGTAGTTTGAAAACCACTGAAGAAAAAAAGCAGAAGTTATGTGAGTCCATCCTTGCTGCTTCTATACAACTTGTGATGGAAAGTAGCAGCCAGGTTCTGCTTCAAGTGTACAAAGACCTCATACCAGCTGTCAGCATGGGGAGGAGCGCTGATGGTTTGGCTCCTCTCAGTCATTGTGTCAACCATGAAATCCTCTGTAGACCAACGGGTTCTAGAGTCTGATGGGAGAACATCTGTTTGACAGTTGAAGCTTAGACCAAACTGGGTCATGATGCAACAGAACAATGGGCCTCATGCAAGAACATGTTCGTATTCTTCTCCTAAATTTC